ACACTATCACGTGCCTGAGTGGAGACCCAACTGAGAAGGGGGCTACCCATGCACCTCTCTTCCCACACCTCCGGCGGCAGTGATAGGGGATGTAAGGACACGGAGAGGCCCAGGCGCCGGTACTGGTGGATGGCCGGGTTTTTGTAGAGGGCATTGGACCGGCTAGACAGTCATTTTGGCGTCACCCCTCCAATGGTGTCACCCGGGTGCAGGCCACACCCCCCTAGTGACGCCACTGGTAGCACAGTGTCAGTATGTCCATATGTGTCCCCAGCTATGACTGGGCCGCTCACCTATACGGAAAAGGAATGAGGAGATTGGAAGAAGCCGTCCACCAAAAAGTCCCTTTATTGAAACATAAATTACATCTTTTGAGAGCCCTGACCTCCTCAATGTCTAGGATGCGTACTGACTGTCTTCAGAGGAGTGACCTTTCACCTTTAGATGTAGGGACACTATCCTGACCAGAGGGTTCGGCTCTTCTATGCTGTGCCATACGCTGGTGTAGCTGCTGTTTTGTTTCACCGACATACAATTCAGAGCGCTCCTCACACTGCACCGGACGGCGTACACAATGTTACCCATCTTGTGTTTAGGCTTTTGGGTGATCCAGTTGTTGCCTCGGTATCTATTGTCTGCCACATACAATGCTGTTTCCACACCTCTCTCTGGGCGGATTCATAACGCCCGCTAGCTCCCATCATGCTAATGCAATCCGCACCTGACCTCCATGAAGTCTCTGACCCCATGCTGGCTGTGACTAAAGGTGCCCATACACCTTGCGATAATGGCGGGAAATCCCGCGATCGCACGAGAATCGAGCAGTGTGAACGGAGACGTGCGACCGTTTCTACTGTACGGTCGCACGTCTTCCGTCGAACCAGCATGTTCGAAAACCAGCCGGGAATCGTACGATTCTCGGCTGGTTAGAACGGTGCTCGGAAGACAAAGTAGCATGTTCGTACGATGTTCGGCGGGTGTGTAGCATGTTCGTACGATGTTCGGCGGGTGTGTAGCATATTCGTACAATGTTCGGCGGGTGTGTAGCATATTCGTACGATGTTCGGCGGGTGTGTAGCATGTTCGGCGTGTGTGTAGCATGTTCCTACGATAACAGCCGTACGGGCCGGTGTGCGCAAGCGCACACTGCCCGTTCGGCATTGCGGTCATCGGAAAGCCCGCCCCTCAGGGGGGCGCGGCTTGCGATCATCGCAAGTACGATCTGCCTGTCCTTGATAGGCAGATCGTACGTTTTTTTAAGTACCTTACAACCATCGCAAAAGTCCTGCCATGGTTGTAAGGTGTGCTCCCAGCATAACAGGTGATGTGGATTGGAGCGACAGTCGCCATATTTATTCCCAGAGAATTTCTGTACGAGTCATTCTGAACTGAGAAAGCCGGTCGCATGATCAGCGAAACGTCTGCAAGAGAAATACAGCGCGTCCAGTTGCCTTGACTTTTACAGACATACTTCTTCGGCTGGACCCCCAATCACAGAGACCGTCGGCCTGCCCGGAGGGGTGGTAGTAGTTTTGGAATTAGGTAGAAGGTGGGCTCACTGTACTCCCCTATGTGGCCTACCCATAAATAAAATCCCATTTGTTTTTGGTGATTAACCATCTCAGTACCGGATACATTTTGTCATTTTTTGCACACACACACGTGCTCATTTTTTAAAAATTTGTTTATCAATTTGATCTTTTTAGGAAAACACTGAAATGAATTTTAGCGCACACAAACACAATATAATATCCACATTTTGGGGGGAAAAATAAAAAAGTCTGGGTCAAGCTGCATAAAAATTAGGGCTGTGGAAATTAAAGATTCATTTCTCGATTAATCGTTAAACTTTTTGATCAATTAAAATTATTTTGATCGCTAATGAAAACACTCACCTCTCCGCCGGCTTCCGGGAGTCCCGCCGGCGATCCGGTGACGTCACGGACATCGACGTCACCGGACTCCTCCCCCCTTCCCCAAGTGGCTCCGTCGGCAAACGAAGGGGGGAGGAGTCCGGTGACGTCGATGTCCGTGATGGCTAACGAAGGGAAGGGGGAGGAGTCCGGTGACGTCGATGTCCGTGACGGCTAACGAAGGGAAGGGAGGAGGAGTCCGGTGACGTCGATGTCCGTGATGGCTAACGAGGGGAAGGGGGGAGGAGTCCGGTGACGACGATGTCCGTGACGTCACCGGACTCCTCCCCCCTTCGTTAGCCAACGGAGCCACTTGGGCCGGTGAGTTTGCCCAAGAAACTTTCTGCACGAGCGCCAGCCAAGGCATTGGCCTATACACATACAGCACAGCAATGAAGTCATACAATGAACTAGGATCACACTAATCCAGCATGTTATTATTCTGAGTTGCCCCACTCAAGCGGCGGCCATATTGAGTGGGGCACGTGAGATTAATAACGTGCTGGATTAGTGTGATCCTAGTTCATTGTATTACCTCATTGCTGTGCTGTATGTGTATAGGCCAATGTAGTTGGATCTGTATGTGCGTTATAATTAATCCAAATTAATCTATTCATCGATTTAAAAAAATTTCGATTAATCGAACGCGAAAATGTTAATCATTACCAGCCCTAAAAAATAGATACCAAACATGTCAATCGTTAAACTTGTGCGCGCCCGTGCGATGGTGAAAAACTATGGTACACAAAATTGTCCATAGGTGATGCTTCAAATGCCTTTAGTGTTCATCAATTTGGAGTTAACACCGAATGATGTCCCGGCGATCATTGTTCTCACTCCGACGCTCGCGCCCATTTCCAGCATGTGTGGTGAATTCGTCATTTGCGTACACGCGCATGCCCCATGTGTTCATTCCTCAGCAGATGGTGGGGGTTGGCTTTCATTTTTTTTAAAATTATTATTATTTTTTTTACTCCTTTTTCACTTAACTTTATTGCTCTCACGAAGGGGCTAACAAGCGTTTGGAGGTGACAGGTGCTCTTTATGGAGACATCAGGGGTCTATTAGACCTCTAATGTCTCCCCTGCCCTCCAATGCAGACGATCGAGCGCAGGGATTGTGCTTGATCGGCTCTGTAACTGCGCTTCTCACAGCTCTGAAGCAGGAAGTGCTGAGCAGATCGGGGAACGGACATTGTTTGCCATGGTGCCCCTTCCCCACCAATCACTGTGCTAGGACCTCCTGGGTTTCAAGTATAGATGCTGTGGTGTACTCTCCTGGCACTGCAGGGGTTAACCCCCCACCCCCACCCAGCCTGTGAGTCATGTATGTTTCTTACACGCTAAGGCTAAGCCAACAACATTACAGCCACTAAGCCCGGCTTCACCATGAGATCCAGAGAAGGTGAATGAGATTTATCACACCTACATCCCCGTATACCAGGAGCAGGAGCAGGAGCTATATATAGAATGCCGGGACTCCGTGTCACCGTCCCCGGCCGTATCCAGGAGTCTGATTAGTGAGACTCGGCGCGGTGCGTCCGCATCCGCCATCACCAATCATAGGGAGAGCCACAGCGCCAAACCAGAGGGGGCTCCACACCTCCATACAGGAGGATAGAAAATAAGTGTTGAAGACCCAGCATGGTGCATTATATATTCTGCAGATTATTCCACCACTGACCTCTCTAGAGATCTGCAGAACATTGCTCCGTCCCATCTCCCCCCTGACAGATACATATTGATATATTCTGCAGATTATTCCACCACTGACCTCTCTAGAGATCTGCAGAACATTGCTCCGTCCCATCTCCCCCCTGACAGATACATATTGATATATTCTGCAGATTATTCCACCACTGACCTCTCTAGAGATCTGCAGAACATTGCTCCGTCCCATCTCCCCCCTGACAGATACATATTGATATATTCTGCAGATTATTCCACCACTGACCTCTCTAGAGATCTGCAGAACATTGCTCCGTCCCATCTCCCCCCTGACAGATACATATTGATATATTCTGCAGATTATTCCACCACTGACCTCTCTAGAGATCTGCAGAACATTGCTCCGTCCCATCTCCCCCCTGACAGATACATATTGATATATTCTGCAGATTATTCCACCACTGACCTCTCTAGAGATCTGCAGAACATTGCTCCGTCCCATCTCCCCCCTGACAGATACATATTGATATATTCTGCAGATTATTCCACCACTGACCTCTCTAGAGATCTGCAGAACATTGCTCCGTCCCATCTCCCCCCTGACAGATACATATTGATATATTCTGCAGATTATTCCACCACTGACCTCTCTAGAGATCTGCAGAACATTGCTCCGTCCCATCTCCCCCCTGACAGATACATATTGATATATTCTGCAGATTATTCCACCACTGACCCCTCTAGAGATCTGCAGAGCATTGCAGAGCAGAGCTTCTCATGCAGATCTTATGTTGTCTTTCTCACACTCTTTGCTCCCAGGGACCTTGGGGCTGACATTGCCTCTGTTTTGTACACATGGATTTATAACTCTGGCGATATAAATGTAATATTCTCTCCCCGGGGTGGTTTGATCGGCACCTTGTTACGTCCTCATCTCTCTGATCTGCTGTTCGCTCTTTTATGATATCAAAGGACAGTTTTTATCTGATCATATGAAGTGTTTGGTGGAAGCCCAACCTACGAGAGAGAGAGAGAGGGAAGATCCCCCCCCACCACTTGCTATGCAAGCCAGGAGGAGTGCTCTGGGACTGTCACACGGCGTGATCGCTGAGCTCCACAAACCAGTCCAGTTTAGTGTGATTCCAAGAACAGGGTGAGGCTGACGTACATGTGAGGCTCACTGAGAGAGGAGCATGCTGAATCGAGACACCGGCCAGTCTTCTGAGGGTCCTCCTGGGCTAAGAACCGACTAGGAAGAACCTGGAGCCGGAATATCGCTGCATTGGGCATCGTGGAACCTCTAGATGTGGTGGACACCCAATGGACCTGGAAAAAGAGGACGCCCAACTGAGGTCAAGGACTTGGTCGTTCTGAAATAAGTTTGCAGGACTTGAGGACATTCCATAGACACCTGCCAGAGATGGATAGCAACCACTCGGCGGCGCTAGTTTGGAACGCCACAGAATACGACCCCACAGTCAGCGTGGATGCCGACGCCACCATCCCGACCTATGGACTTGTGAGTTTCCAAATCGTTATTGCCGTCATCTATTCCTTGGTCTGCACGGTGGGGCTTCTAGGCAACTTCTTCGTCATGTACCTGATCAGGGCGAAGAGAGTCAGCGGTCTCACGGCCATTGACATTTTTGTCTTCTGTTTGGCGCTGAGCGATTTCCAGTTTGCCTTCACGTTGCCCTTCTGGGCTGGGGACGCCATCATGGACTTCAGCTGGCGCTTTGGACATCCCATGTGCAAAATTGTCCTCACCATGACCGTGCTGAGTGTCTACTACAATGTGTTCCTCCTGACCGCCATGGCGGTGACGCGATACTGGCTGGTGGCTTCGGCGTTGAGCCTCACGTGCACCGTGTCCACCACAGCGGCCAAATGGATCAGCTTTGCCCTGTGGCTTTTAGCCCTCGCGGCCACCGTACCCACAATTATTTTTGCCAGCACAAAACAGATCCTGGGAGATGAACTCTGCCTCCTTAAGTTCCCGGAGAAGAAGTGGTTGGCCATTTACCACGTTCAAAGGTTCATCATGGCCTTTGTCATACCTCTTATTGTGATCTCCACGTCCTACATTTCACTGCTGAACTTCTTGAGGCAGCACAGGGTGAACGCCAACAACCAACATCGCCAGAGCAAGATCACCAACTCCATCCAGCTGGTCATTATAGTCTTCTTCGTCTGCTGGTTCCCCAACCACGCCGGCATTTTTTGGGGCATCCTCATGAAGTTTGAAGTGGTCCATTGGAGCGACGCCTACTACTACTTCCATACCTACGTCTACCCCATTACTATATGCCTTGCCCACAGCAACAGCTGCCTGAACCCGGTCATCTACTGCCTGATGAGGAAGGAATTTCGGAAGTTGCTCTGGGCGTTGCTTAGGCAACTCAAGGGCATGGTCATGGGCATTCTGCCCTCAGCCAAACGTTCCAACATGGACCAGGAGACAGAGGTGCCACTCTACCGAAAGTCCAGCCTTCCTCACACCAATAGCAGGGAATATCACGGACCTTCTGTCTCCACCATCACGATCCTTCACGACATGCCGGCCAAGGACCAACGGCAATGCAACGGAGCAACCCCGAAGCAGGAGACCGCAATGGACTATCCCAATGACTGCGAACTGTGAAGGCAGAACAGCTTGATCTGCCCGCGGCCAAATGTACAGACGGTCACCCAGAGCCAGGCTGTCAAGACGGGGAAAATAATGAGACCAAGGGTCTGTTTTGAGTTAGCCTAACGTGATGAATTGGTCGACGGCCCCGCGTTGTCGTCGCAACTAATTCTCTTGATATCAGAGACACTACAAAGCCTGCCGCGGGTTCCCCACACATCAAAACGCACTTAGAAACATCAATACCAGCGATTTGCCTAATGAAGCAGAACGCGGCACGGTTCACGGCAAACACTGGCTCATCGAACAGTCCTCAACGACGCTCCGCTCAGTGTTGTGCGCACGAAGCAACCTGTTAACGGTTCGAGCGAAAAATCGCAAGGCGCGCGTCCAGGAAGGGCAGGGGGACTTCTCCTCCATGGCCGTAGGTGGAACCTTATAGGTCGCTGAGCAAATCGCCGGCATTTCTACACGCCTCATTAGCCGGGGGAGGCCAGCAAGGCGATTCGTTGTCAAGAGAGAACGGAGCCGCTCGCTGTCACGGCATCCGACAATCGATCGAACGTTTGGATTGTCAAAAACAAAAATCACATGGAAGGGCTTAATGATTGCTTGGGATGACAACTGTACAGCGGAGTTTTTGTATACTGTGTGTGGTGAGAGGGGGGGGAGGGGGGTCAGGTTATAACTTCCTCTGTTCCCGTCTATTATTACGCTGTCAATCAATTCTTAATTCTAACCTCCGGGACATAATTTACGGCTTATGTTGGTATTTCACGTTAGCTCAGCACTTAAAGGGATACAATATATATAAATATATTTAAAACATTTTTTATATATATATATATATAAATATATATATAGAT